ACACACACACACACACACACACACACACACACACACACACACACACACACACACCACAGCACAATACATGAATACTGCTGAGAACAAGTACTCATCTTATTGTATTGATTTGGCATAAAGTAAAAGTTAGCATGCATGTTTTCTGCTCAGGTTGGATGCAACCTCAGAATCCTTCTCAAAATAGGACTCCAGGAAGCCTCCACTATTTGAACATAGTTGTCAGCAACACGCTTACTATGAGCCAACTGTACAGACTGTTGTGGTGGGGGAAGGGACACAGGAAATGTGGAGTCCACACCTAAGACTAGTCAAGGAAACTATGTCCCTGATTCTTCTAGCCCTCTATAAACCTTCAGCAGGAAAGGCCAGAGGGTGAGGGCCAGGGCCTCTGCTGCAAGACACTGACTAGGTCCAGCCCTTGCGAACACAGAAAGAAACTTCTAAGACAAAATGATATCCCTGAGAGCAGCTTCATCACCCCATGAGTAACCAGAGATCATGACTGGCCCAGAAAAGCATGGGCCCTCTGCTAGGAAGTCCATCCTTGCCCTGACCTTGACTCTACTGCCAGGATCCCCAGGAGAGACCTCAGGACCCCTAGGAGGGAGGGGAGGTACAAGAAGAAAGACCTCTGTCACTATCGTGTCTACATCAGAACAGACTGGTCTGGGCTTGACGCCACCTGTGTATTAACCCAGCACTCCGGAGCATAAGACAGAAAGATTGAGGAATATTTGTAGCTAGTCTGGGCCACAAAGCAAGTACCAGACCAGGATAAGTGGTCTGGTATACAGCTAAGGCCAGCTGTACAACCAAGTCTAAAATCACAGAGAAGGGGATGGGACTGATTTCTGGGTGTGACCACAGTCCGTGCCCCAATCCTATCCCCAAACTGCCAGGTATGGTTCTAAAGGGCGAGGACACCACATTCCTCTATGTCACAGAGACTCAGCTCTCTCCTTTTCCATAGTCTACAGGAGGGAAAAGATAGATAGATAATAGAGGCTCCTCCTTAGCAGCCCGGCGTCTTCATCTTAGGTTGATGGGTGAAGGTTTTTTTTTTTTTTGTATGTGTATGTGGTTTGCTTTTGGTGTTATTTTCCTTTCTGTCTCTCTCCAACTTGTTACCAAGGCAACTAGACCCATAAGTTGTGGAGACCAGAGTCTCTCATCACAAACCCACATGCTGCTCAGATAACAGGCTCGTTGCGGCTCCCACAAGGAAGAGACACCTCCGCGCCCCTCCCGGCCCCAGGCTCACCTGCCAGGAAACAAGGAATGCGCACGGAACGATTGGTGAGGAGGCAGGGGTCGTCGTGGAGGTTGTCGAAGGGCATCAGGGCCCTGCCGTTGTCTTGGAAGCGGGTATTGACAGCCAGCAGCCCGAGCTGGTTGGTGAGGTTGCGCAGCCTCCTGGCCAGGGGGTCCTCGCTGCCGTACACCGCGCTGGCATCCACGAAGGACGTGAGCGCGTTGATCTGGTTGCGAATGGTGATGTTGCTCCCGGTGCAGGCAGGGCAGGAGCGGAAGAAGGGGATGCAGTCCTCTCGGTTCTTGATTCGAGGGTCGTTAGGTGGGATCTGAGGCACAGGGAGAAGCTAGTCTGGCGTCTGTAGGTAGGGACGGTGGGCATTTGTGGCTCACAACCTGCCAAAGAGAACTCTGGCCCCTTCCACCTGCAGGGGAGCCTCTCAAGGCCCCCTAGAATTACTGGGGCTCAGCCAGAGGAAAGACTGAGGCTTAGGGGTGACAAAGAATACACTGAACGGTTCAGGGTTGATCAAGGCCACTACTCTGATCTAGGCATCTTTTTTTTTTCTTTTTTTTTTTTTAAGATTTATTTATTTATTTATTTATTTATTTATTTATTTATTTGTCTATTTAGCTATTTATTTATTTATTTATTATGTGTACACTGTTCTGCCTGCATGTACACCTGCACGCCTGGAGAGGACGCCAGATCTCACAGGTGGTTGTGAAGCTCCCTTCACTAAGCATCTTAATCCCCTTCTTTCCTGTTTCTGCCTCTTCCTCTCTGGCCCTGTCAGACTCCTGTCCCTTTATCTCCCTCTCAGTCTCTGCCTTCTTTCTCCCCACTTCCCTCCTTACCCAGAAGGTGCCTCAACGCTGACCCTGACTACTGGGCAACCCAAACACACACACACACACACACATACACACACACACACACACACACACACACAAAGAGAGAGAGAGAAAAGAGAGAGAGAGGCCAGTGCTCCTACACTATTAGGGTGAGGAAGACAAGTCAAGTCCTCATTCCAGAATTCTCCCAGCCTCACAAAGAGCCAGTCACCCCAACCCACAGGGCAACGCTAGCTTAAGGGTGCATTTTAGGCTCAGAGAGTTATTTCCTGGTTGACAGCAGGCTCTGCTGATGGAGACAAGGATTGACTCTGGACTCTGGAGTCAGGACCAGCCTTGCTGGGTTGGGGGGCTAGGAAGGAACCAGGGCACAGAAGGGGCGTGGTCATCGACGTGAACCATCTCCCCTCTCTCCAGGCACAGACCCTGGTGGATGGAAAGAGGCAGCACCTTGAGGGGGAAGCAGGGTGGCTGCTGCAGGCAGCTGGTCTCGCAGTTGAGGCCAGTTAAGAAGGAGGACCGGGTAGCTGGCTCGGGAGTCAAGGTGATGTCGTGGTCCAGAAACTGGCCCCACTGCATGAACATGAGTGAGCGCTCCTGGTCCTTGGTCAGCTGATCGTTGGGGAAGCGCACGATGGCATTGGAAACCTCTCGAGCCTGCGGAGACACCTGGAGTCAGTGGATACCTGCGTCCTGCACATTGGGTTGGGCTTTTCTCCTTTGTACTAGGCGCTCACCAGCGGCACGTTGAAGCCATTGCGCTTGACTCTGGGCGTCCAGCCGAAGGGCATGGAGACCCCGTCTTCATACTCTGCAGGCAGCCAGCGCACAAAGGCGCGGTTGGAGGCCCCCAGCGTGGGGCTGCGTCTGGAGGGAAGCGCAGAGGGTTGGCCCAAGGGGTCAGGACCCAGACCCAGTCACCACACGTCCCTGAACTGCCCTGGGCTCTCACCTGTTGTTGCAGTGTCCGGTGATGGTGCGATACTTGTCCTGCGCTGGGCATGTCACCCCCACGTCCTGATAGGCGCATCCGCTTGACTTGGACAACAGATTCAGCTGAGCAGGTGTCAACACATCTGAGAAAGAGAACCACCATCTTAGATCTGAGCCCTCCCGCACATCGTTTTCTATGCTGGGCGACCTGGGGCTGAGGAGCCCGGTAAGGAGGAGGAGTAGGCAAGCCAGCGGAGAAGTAGGAGTGCTAGGTTGCCTCTGAGACTCCTTAGACAGGCGGTTCTCAACCTTTCTAATGCTGCCACCCCATAGGTCGTGACCCATAGGTTGAGAACCATTGCTTTAGAGAGGGAGGAGTTACAGTACCGGTGACATTGAAAGGCCCTGGCCACAGGGGCTGCAGCTTCCTCTTCAGCAGGTCCAGGGCCACGTGAAGATAGTCAGCAGCCCTCACAGCCGTTCTGGTGGCTGCCACCGGCTGCTTGAAGTAGGAGAGGAGCTGCATGGGACTGGCGGAGCCACTGCGCAGACTCTGCTTGATGCTGTTTAGACAAGGGAGGACCAGAGAAGGGAAGCAGAGACACTCAGCAGGGCCCAGCCTGTGGTGAGCGGGCAGCACTGTGCGGAGAACCACAGAGGAGAAGAGGGTTTCTTCTGTCGCAAGGATGTGGACCAGGATGTGCAGGCAGGGAAGCGAGGCCGCTGAAGGAGTGAGTGGCCTTGAAGATATTCTGACAGCCAGGAACTCAAGTATAGACGGATCAGGCCCAGCTTCGCCTGTGGGCCCTCATCCTTTTTACAACCCCCCACTGCTTGTCCCTTCTCCAGAAGATTCGGGAGCAGCTTTGCCCGGGGCTGGCCAGTGCCTGGCACTCCCACCTCTCTCTCCGATCCTTGTAGGCCTTGTCCACCAGTAGTTTGGCCTCCTCCATACAGGTCAGCACCATTGAATCCATTACTTCCCCCGGGATAGCTGCCCAGAGCATAAGTCGCAAGGTCAGGACTGGCCCCAAAGCCCTTTATCAGGTCCCCAAACCAAGGAGGCCTGCATAAATCAAAGGCTGCTACTGTACTGGGCTGAGCAGCCCCCCATCCCCCCAGCAGCAACCCTCTCTTCCCTCCTTTTGGCACTATTACCTGGAGTGGCACCACTGGAGGTCTGAAGCACTACCAGAGGGGCCAGGAGGCCTGCCAAGGCCAAGAATAGCTTCATCTCTGGGAAAAACAAAACAAAACAAAACAATCCCTACCACCACCACCACCAAAAAAAGTGAGTTCCCTGAGCGTTTGAGAAAAGAGGGATTTATCACCCTCCTTCTCCCAAGCCCCTCCTCTCACCTTCACCCAGCCCTACCCCAGTGGACCTGGTCTATGAGGAAGGCCTCTGTGAGAGAGGGGTCTACAGTCCAACCCTCCCCCCTCCAGCTATCGTCTCCAGTCCCCAAGAGCTCAACTCCACAGCTGACACTGACAATACCTCTCACTAACAATGGGCTTTTATGTCCTCTAACCTGGGGGCGGGGTGGAGTAAAAAGAGATAGGACCTGTCCCAAGACCAGACTCTCCTCCCCCACTGGGGCAGGGGTGCACAGAGGGGGGCTGTGAAACGGAGGGCATGGGCAAGAGAATGGCCCAGAGCTGCTCCCATCAAGCACAGACAAAATGTCAGTTAAACTGGGTATCCCAAATTCCATTGAAAGGGACAAAATTCAGGGACCAAAGGCTAAGGAGTTATGGGGGATAGTGCAGCTTCATGGGGGGCGGGGGGAGGATGACAGGAAAATGCAGCAATTCTGACCCCTTAGAGGGCCTCAGAGCTACCCCCACTCCAACCCTGGAGGGCAGCCCCCAGTTCTCAGTGGGGCGGAAAGGACAGGAAATCTGGCTGGAGACAGTTAGGCTTCTCAGGAAGAAGGACCCTGGGGGCTACAGGCTCAGAGAAAAGGCCACTTCCTCTGTCTCTCCACAGCCCCTTCTCCTTAATTTCTGGCAGGGAGGGACCCACTTCTGATTCTGGAGGGGGCAGAGCTGGCTGTGGTTAGTGGTCAGTTGATGATACAGGCCAGGGCCTCTCTGAACAAGACCAGTCAGTTAAGAAGGTTCAGGTTAATGACTCAGGATCGTTATGAAGTAGGATCCTCATGAGTTTCTCCCCTGAGAAGAGCAAGCCATAGAACTGCCATTGTCAATCAAGAGCAGTACCGTGCCTGCTTGCCTCCACCAGGGATCATCCTCAGGCCTAGGGCAGAACTGCTTTGCCCGCCTTCCTGTCACCCACTCTTCTCTGTGCTCAGATCCAGCCTTGGCTAACGAGTGAGGGGCAAGACCACACTCAAATATTTTCCTGCTGTGCTCAGGAATCCTATCACCTGGGAAACTGATCCCAGGCTCAGGAGAAACTCATTCTCCTGGTCTTGCTGCATGTGAACTCGAACAAGTGGCTTCTTGAGAGTTGGATTCTAGAATTTCCCAAGCTTTTGAAAATACGATTTTGAGTCTCCAGTTAATATACCTTCATTGATTAGAATCCACGGGGCAAGAATAAGCAAGAGATAAAAATAAACGGAGCCTGAAGTGCTGGCACATGCCTAGAATCCTAGCCCTTGGGAAGCAGAGGCAGGAGGATCAGAAGTCAAGGGCCAACCTCAGCTGGATAGCTAACTTGAGGTCAGCCTGTCTTACATGAGACCTTGTCTCAAAAATACGACAAAATAAATAGAAATTACTTATAATCTATTGACATTGGAGGTGATCTCTTTTTTTTTTTTCAAGACTAGTCATTGTATTTCACATAAATAAGCAGTAAGAAAGAATAAAATTTCACATAGTCCTAGGACTCACTGATACTTTAACAATTTACTGTTCTTCCTGTAGAATTCTTTGTGTGCTGGGATTAAAGGGGTGTGCCACCCCGCTGGGCACCGTTTGCTTTATTTTGCCTGAGGATTTTGAATGAACGGTTTATGTGGTTTATTAACTAACCCTCTCTTGTTAGATACTTGGGTTGGTTCCAGTTTTAGTTGTTATGGACAAAATTCAGAGGGGCCTCCTTGGAGTTAAATCTCTAAGCACATCTTCAGTTAGTTCCTCGGGCAAGAAGGCTCACGCTGGGGGCAGCCCAGCTTGCCCTTAATCCCAGACCTGGGGATTCCAGGCAGCTGGATGCTGATCTTGAAGACAGCCTGTTTGAGCTAGAGCAAGACCCAGTCGCAGTTATTTATTTTTTTTCAAAATATCTTAGCAGGAAAATTTGGGCTTGTGCAATTTTAGGGCTTTAGAATTTATTGCCAAACACCCCTCAGGAGGATTGCACTCCATCCTTCCAGAAGCCAAGCATGACAGCACCTGTTCCCAACTGCCCTCATCAGCCCTTTTTAAGTGACTGGAAGGAAGAGTCATTTAATAGCTTAAAAAAAAAAAAACAAAAAAACAAAAACAAAAAAAAAAACAAAAACAAAACAGAGATGATAAGAAGAAAGTCCAACAAGGAAATGTTGTTGCCAAGGTTACCAGTGTAGCACTGTTCAGAATGGTCTGTCAGGTTCCCTGACTTCCAAGCCCAGCCTATTTGTGTAAATGGTCTCGACAGTTACTTCTGACCTTTCACCAGTGACCTACGACTTATCTAATGGGTATTCATTAAGCCCTTGCACATTCTGGGTGTTGGGTTGCAACCAGAAGGGAACAAGACTGGGCCTTGTCTTCAAGAAGCTCCCAAGGAGGAAGCCAAAAGGCCAACAAATGGTATCATACGCACCTGCTCAAAGCCCTTATGGGGTGCCAAAGCACTTGGATCAACTTCGGGTCAGGAAGCCCCCAAAAGACTTCCTTAAGAAATTCATGATTCAGGCTCTGTCTTGAATGATGTTTGGGATGACCAAATAAACACAAATCGTGAATGGCATAGTAGATGTCATCCAGGTCATTTCAGTGCAGGGGCAGAGTGGGCACGAGGTTAGGTTGAAAAGACAGGCCCCAACAAAAATTCCTCAAGGGTCCAGGTCATGAAGCAGGGGAGTGTGGGTCACCTAGGCAGTGCTGGGCAGTCACACAGAGACTGCAGATGTCTGTAGCTCTCTACCCACAGGAGAGGCGGATTCTCAAGCAGAAGCCTCTCTAAACCACTGTGCCTCAGGGTTAAGGTTGTGGGCCTAAGTGTGCACAGGGCCTGGAGATGCTCTGTGACCTCCCAGTGATTCCGACCATTTAACTGTGCCACGTTTGGGGCGGCTGCAGAGCCAGTAGCCTCCGTTATCTGCTCTGTTTCTCCCTCAGCTAGCTAGGGAGGGGCTTCAGAAGAAGATGACTATCCAGAAAGATGTTCCCAAAGAGCATGGCCCCCATCCGTCTTGCCTCAGCTCCCTGTCCCCGGGAAGGTCTCCGGAGGGCACCCCTGGCACTGTCACATCTCCAGACTATGGTCATCGTGGAAGGAGCATCCCACCCAGGGCACACTTCTCTGTGCTCTCCCTTCTCCCCACAGAGCTTTCCCAAACACCCCAGGCCTTAGGGTTCAGCCCAGCTTCCTGTGTGATAACTGGGCAGCTACTGCTTGCAAAACAGATTGCTCTTTCTTAACACTGTTTCAGAAACAGTTCAGTTGGAATTAAAGGCAGATGTGTATGTGTGTGTGTGTGTGTGTGTGTGTGTGTGTGTGTGCAAGGAAATGCCTCCATCTACGGATCAGCTGTTGACGTTAAGGATGCAAACACACCAGCTACACCCAGCCTGTAGTTAGATCTTGCCTTGATTTTCTTCAAGCTCTTCTTTCAGTGACGATCTGAAATTATGCATGGGGGCTGGGGATACAACTGATGTAGTAGAGTGCTCTCCCAGAATGCAAGGTGCCCGGGGTTCAGTCCCCAACACAGCATACACTGGGCACAGCAGAATGCACCTACGATTCCAGCACTCAGATGACAGAAACTCAAGATCAGCCTTGACTACATAGCAGGCTTGAGGCCATCGTGAGACACATGAAACCCTGTGTCAAAAAAAAAAAGAAAGAAAGAAAGAAAGAAAGAAAGAAAGAAAGAAAGAAAGAAAGAAAGAAAAGAAAAGAAAAGAAAAGAAAACAGATGAGGGTAAAATTCTTACAGAGGGTTACTGTGACACTCCCAACTCTGATCACTTTCCCTTCTCTCTTTAAGCATAAACACTTTGGTCGGCTTGTATTTGCTCTCCAAACCACTCTCCTCATATTTGTCCATTTCTGGATCTGTGGGGAATAGTTTTCCATAACGGATAGAACTTGAAGCCTGTTGCCCAACAATTGTGTCTCTTTTACTCAACGCTCCATCTCAGCTAGGAGTGTAGCTCAGCGGTGGGGTGCTTGCCTGAACGAAGCCCTGGGCTCGCTCTTCACCATAGAGGGGGGAAGGGCTGTACTTCTTGCAGCTCTGTCTTTTGTTACTGTTTAAAACCTGTTAGGCTGGCAGCGCACAAGATCTGCATAAGCGCGAGCCAGACGAAATCCCAGCACGGGGAGTCGGGAAGATGAGCATCTCCCTGATAGCTGCAGGGAGATGGTGAGTGGGTTCTCCTTAAGGGTGTGGCCCCGGGTAGCTGGAGCCTGATCTAACCGACGGCCCCACAGACAGGAATATGTAAGCAGTACACGTGGGACTCTCAACAGAAACTTAAAAGAGAGGAGAGAGGAGTGGAGGACACACAAGGCTGGGTGGTTAAGGGAAGGACTGAGGACCTGGGAGGAGCTGGGGGAAGGGTGAATATGATCAAACAATGTATGAATTTCTCAAAGAAACTTTTTTAAAGACTTGACACTTTTGAAATTGCTCTGTTAAGGGGGCTGGGGCCATGGCTCAATAGTACAGCACTTGCTTTGCATATATGAACCCACGGTTTTGCCAGAAGTCCTTTGACTTGCTGCATCCATATCTGAATTGTTACATATCCCTTCCGTCTGGCCATGAGGCTTTTACGTGGTTAATTTTCTCTGAATACAAGCTGACACTTTCCCATCTTTCCATTATTAAGAACAGTGAAGTAGGAAGCCTCTTTGTAGGCGCACACACCTGTTTTCTGGTGTAGAGTGGCTATAGGTTTTTAACATTTGTGTTTTCCATTCTGGAGCTTCAACAGGGGGCCCTCAAACATGCTAGCAAGCACTCTACCACTGAACCGTGGTTTTGTAAATTAAAAAAAAAAATTTTTTTTTAAGAGGAGGAGTTAGTCCACTGTATATCCCCTGCC